GGACGTTCGGAAACTTCTAATTTTTTAGTTGTCATCGTCAGGGCTGAAGTGTTTTCGTCTCGGTCTCTAAGTGAGTTTTTCTATAGAAAGTGAGTTCTTGTGATTATCGTGTAGATGTATTTTTGGACAGTTTTTCGTACGTGAAATCGATATATTCGGATAGTCCTGGAAGTGGGAAACTTATGCTTTGTGAGTTATTCGTAAGTAGAAATTAGGAACTGAACCTGAAGTTTTTTCGCTTTACGTACTTAGGCTATGAACTTTATTTATATTTTTTTTCCTGTCTTGGAAATAATTTCAAGGAATCTCACTAAATAACTCACAGGGTAACGAGTCATACACAACAAAAATAATTGTAACTGAGCATAATAATGAAACCAAAATACTCAAATGCGATCACAATTTGTTAATAATGTTTTTGATATGATTTTACCAATTTTTTATATAATTTTAATCCTATACCCACTAACGCTTACAATTTATTTGCAAATCATGTATCCTAGCCAAATATTTCGTTTTATCCATAATAATAAGTATTTGTAAATAGCATTTAATTCTTGTAATTATTCATTTAGTGAAATTAAACCTAAGTCCTTTATTACTTCGCAATACTGTAACGATATAAGCAATAATTTTATACTTTAATATGAATGCTTGTCTTCGAAATGACCCTTGTATAATTGATATACTTTTTAACTAAAATAGATACATGTTACTGTTAAAAAAACCTCTTATATAGTATATAATGTAACCTTGTTACTACAGAAGGCATTTCGCAAGTCAATCACTTAGAAATCGAACATATTCGCTTATTGTATGAGCTTGTTATTTAAACGTAATATACAAAAATGTTACAGTGTAAATTACATACATTTGCAATATCTGAGGGCCTATTATTGATTTTATATTTAAATTATTTATTTACTAAGCTTGATATATTTATTACTTCTCATTGTAGTAGGTACCTCGTTACACCAAATATCACAAATATGGCCTAAGAATATAATTCTTTAAACAGCCTGCAATTTTTTAAATCAATTTTTATTTTTATTATTTTTTTATTGAATCAATGTTTGTACTGTTTTAGGTATTTAATATTAATATTCCTTAATGTATAATCTTCCTGGAATTTGAATCTTTATTATCTATCTCCTCAGATCCTTCTAAACCTAATAGAAAATTTGTTATAAATTATAATTGAAAACGTTGATACGTACACTCTGCATGTGTTGTGCAATAATCGAAGAGTAGATTTTACAGTAAAACTTTAGGGTCATACTTCTTGCTGACTTATCTAGACTGCATAATTTCTTAGAGACTGATCATAAATATTTTTGTTTTCTTGTTTAGCTGTGGTCATTGCGTTACATTTCCCACTGACCTCTATATTCCATTGGATGTGATAGCCGTAGTAATTTTTGCCTATATGATTTTCGCCATTTTAACACTGACGGTGGGTTTTTGGAAACTGGGATTAATAATATAGTAACTTTAATTCATGCTTTTAATTCTGTATAAAAACTGTTATTAAAGCAGCTATCTCTCCAGAGGTTAAATAGAGGTCAGTGATTTTTCCTCTTCAACCTGTCACCGTAGTGTCTGACAGGTCACTTTTGTAGGTTATAAAATATCGTCTCGAATTTTAGATGCTACCTTGTAAATGTAATGCAGTTATGCAATAGTCCTTCCTCTACTAGACCATTTCTATTTTCGCTCTGTTAGTCACCTAGTTAAGGCGCGCATTGACCTCAGTTAATAATTATAAGATTGTATCCTGTGTACGTGTTAATCGTAAGTCAGTAAGAAGCTAAAAATAATGTAATTAAATTAAATGTAGATTTATAGTTTATGTCCATAAATGTGTCTCGTTTAAATTGTGGTGTCTATTTCATGTTAGAGGTACTAATTTAATTGCAAGTTGACTGAGGTGGTGATATGGAGTCGATGATATTTTTTACAAAAAGATATTATAACCTCGGGAGAGCTCTGTGTGTACTTCGGTCCGCAGAGGCAGAGGTCAGCAGAGGTCGGCAGTAAATGACCCGCGCGATGGTGATATTTTTGCAAAATGTGACTAAACAAAGCAATACATTGTAATGTAATACGTCTTATCGTTTTTTTTAATAACTGTAAGGTGTATTTTTATTTAAATAATACAATTATATAATATATCTATTGTGAATGTAGTTATTCATTTCGCGGTGATATTTAGTAGAGCGTATCTTTTTTATGGTGTATAAAGAATTCTAATTTGTAAATAGGTACTTAAAATTGTATTGTGTAAAAAATATTGTACATATCTGTACGCTTGGATTATTTATAAAAGTATCGTCGGTAAGATTTTAGATTATGAATTGTATTGTAATATAGTGGGCGAGCCACGGCCGCTAGGGGCTGCGCAGTCATATGACAGTTCAGTGGCCACCGTGTCCCCGATACTTTCCTAGTAACATTAAATTTGAAATAAAAAAACTTTCGCTTAACTACCATCAGTAACTTTCACATATTGCATGGATTTATTTCATTAGGTGTATAATCTGTCAAAGTGCGGGGGTTTCGATAGTTCTTCAACCAACTTACCATAGACAAAGCTTCTAGTTTTTTTAGAGGGCTTCAGAGGCGCGGTATGAGTCGTCGATTACGTAGATCTGTCGTGCCGAGTCTATATAGACTTCATATGAACATTTTGATTTGTATTGTAGACGACGCGTAGGTCCCAGGTTATTCTGTATGTCGCTAAGCCGGCGGCAAATTCGAGCGTGAGCTCAGCGAGTCATTTGAAAGGCGATGGAAGCATGTACAATAATAAACATAGAATGTATTCTAATGGAATATGTAATAAAACATTAAAACTTGAAAACTCTTTCATTTCTCTTTTTAATCTATCCATATCTTTAATATCTTAATAATTTCTTGAAAACATTATAACCTAAAATACATCGGAGATTACGAAAATCTAGTCTATGGTCTTCACAAACATTAAAACTATACATAATTCGTAAAAAGAGATACTGCAAAAAATAATGAAAAGACATTTACGATTTATAAAAATAATTTATTTTCAAAGTGCTCGCATACAACTAGTGATATGTTTACCAAATATACAATTATCTCACATCGAATATAAACACAACAAACAGCTTATAATTATATTGTACACACAATGTTAAAATTCACTAGAGTCAACACACAATCTATCAACAAGCATCAAGTTTGAAATATAAAAAAATATGTTATCTGTGCAAATATGCATATACGTTTAACAGTTTTTTTTAACTACAATTTTCTAATATAACATGTCTTTTAAAAGAAAATAATCTAGATTTATTAGTGAACTATTAATTATGCTACCATATTGGTATTTGCACGTGTAAACACACTACGTACGTGCATTGACTACCCGAGTTTCCACCGCTAAGACACTATACATGGGCGTCGCCAAAGGTAACTGCCCCCTACCCCTTCCCAAGTGGGTGGTAAATTGTAAACACAAACATTATAACTTCGAATTTTTAGTTGGATCGTTATAGACACGATGAAATTTCGCACAGATGTAGGGCATAATCTAGAACAAATAGGCTCGTTTTGTATATATTCGTTATATAAACTAGCTTTCTCCCACGACCCTTTCCGCGTGGAATAATAAAAGCAAAAGTGAGTAGTCTATGTGTTTTCTAGACTATTCTCTACGTCTGTGGTAAATTTCATTGAGATCCGTTCAGCAGTTTAGACTACAAACTCTAACAAACATCCAACTTTCGCTTTTATAATATTAGTAAGATTAAATCAAAATGCAATCCCTAGATAGATAAATAAAAGAGTCAGTATATAAATAAATAAGCGATTTGATAGATTTTCATTACTATTTTCCTAAGTCCCCCTTGATTATACCCTCCCCCATAGATCTTCGTTTGGCGACGCCCACACTTAAAACAAACTGCTACTACCCTGACTGAAATATCTACCATTTTGTACACATTTCAGTCAAAAACTAACATAGTCTACAAACAATTAAACATTTCCACTAGTATTTTAAATTATTTCAACTTTTCCTAATAAAGTTATAATCTTTCTTCTCAACATCAAATAGCTTCTTTAAGTAAAGAAAATACAGATAAAAATAACCGATTGTAAATTGACACAAAATAATCTAATCTCAATACAGTCATATTAAAATAAAAATAACATTAAAAAGGAACTTTAAAAATAAAAATTCAAAAAATATACATCATGAGTTATAAAACATTTAGGGCCTGTCCCACCACTGGCTGAAAAACGACGTCACTTTTAGATAAGGGAACCCGATATTTCCATCACATATTTTAAATGTTCGATTATCAGACAATTTACAATTCGGTGGGACAGGCTTTGAGTATAAAATAAGTAAAAAGTGGCATAACATAATTTCATATTTTGCCCCACAATAGCCTTGTAGAAGTCTAAACCGCACACAAGGAAATTTTTACAGAAATAAACACACACTTTATGGAATGTCAGAAATCACAGCAGGTTTTTAAATAATTATTGTTTTAATAAAAAGCCCTACATGTACGCTGTAAGAGGTACTTTCACGCTATTAAACAAAGAAGATGAGTAAATTGGAAATGCAAGAAAGCGAAATAAAATCCTATCCAATAGCAATAAAGAATTGTAGTTCCCAAGGTTATATAAATTCTCAGCAGCAAAGAATCAATATTGCCTTGGATACTTGATTGAAATGTATACAATCTTTTATTTTTTTTTATACTGTTACTATGTCATTTTTGTTTTTCATTAGTCTTTTTGATTATGATGTAAGTTTTTTTAATTCAGTGTTTTAACGAAATTTACACTTTCAGTTTTTTAACCAATATCGTCATCTGAGCATTTGAATTTTATTAAAGTAAATTGTACCATGGTTATTTAAATTCTCAATCAATGCAAAAAAAGCAAGATTGCCTTGTTTACTTGAATTTAGTGAAATAACGAAATTTTGACCATCTATGACCTAATGTATTGAAATTATAATTTTTAAGAGCAAATAGTTTAATAATCTTCAAAAGGGCCGGTGACTGTGAGTGACGTTTTGTCCCACCGCGCCATAGCGTGTTGATTGACGGTGTCGATGTCCCACTGCTGCGCGCGCGCGCCGCTGCAGCGGTTGATGAACACTTTGCGACCACTCGCCTCCCATTCCAAGCAGTTCTCATTCCCGCCGTGTTTTAGTTGTTTTGTCGCCTATTTTTTTAATAAAAAATGTTTCTATTCAAAGGAACTGAACTTTGAAATTATCAGACATTTAACAATATTTTTTTCTTTTTTTATAGTCTGTTATGCATTTAAAAAGGCGTTCTATTAGACATTATTGTGCTAGAATGTCTTTTATATTCGATATCGTATTTAAAATAATTTTACATTGTCTGGAAAGTTATAGTGCATTAATTGAATGAATGATCAATGAGTGAATGACTGAACGAATATTGTTAAGTGTAATGTTTATAGTATGACATGCAATATGCCTTTTCTTTAATAAAGAGTGAATGACTGAGCGATTGAATGTGTGAATGAATGAATGATTGAATATGAATGATATACTCACCGGATGGTACCTCCAGAGCTGGTTTCCTCCACCAAGGTGGCAGGAGTAGAGGATGATGGGCTGCTCGGGTCTGGAGTCCGGGACATCCCAGCACATATTCCTGTCTTTAGATCTGCAAATATATAAATTAAATAATGTGATTGCAGTATTCTAACCAATAAAAGGCATTTCACAATGTCATATATAATGCGAATTTTATATAACTAGCTTTTGCCCGGGACTCCGTTCGTGTGGAATTAAATGAAATCTAAGTAGCCTATATCTTCCTCCAGATTATCCTATACATCAATGCCAAATGTCATTGAGAACCGTTCAACAGTTTAGAGTATAAACTCGAACAAACATCTTAACTTTCGCATTTATAATATCAGTAAGATTTACATTCATGTAAATAAGTAAATTGTATAGACTCTGGATTACGGTTACACAAAATATTTACTGCCAGAATAATTTAAATAAATACTTTTTTTAACATAAATAAACCGTTTAGTATAAATAAAGCGTTTGAGTAAATTTTTGCCTCAAATTAAATTTTTAAACTTTTTGAACTATCAACTTTATTCCCTCTAGTAGACGCTTGGTTTCCGGACCCCAGAATATCGGAATTCAGTACGAAAAAACCATTAGGGAGGTGTTTAAGTGCCGGCTGTGTGTCAGCAGGGCAGGGAGGGCAGGGTAGGGTACGGCAGGGCAGCACGTGCCTGATGTCCTTGTGCCAGGAGAGCAGGAAGTGCTGCTCGGCGGCTGCGGAGCGCTCGCAGACGGCCAGCGCCAGCGCCGCGCCCTGCTCGCCGCGCCGCAGGTCGCAGCACAGCTGCCCGTCTGCGCCCGCCCTTATCTGCACACACATCTATACCTTTACTATATCTATACTATCATAATAAAGCGTATACACACACTTCTTTGTTGCCTAAGACGTCAGCAATTACACCATATATTTTAATAATTATCTCTTTAATAAAAAGCTTAAACTTACAACACGCTACAGGTTATATATTTTCACGCTATCAAACCTAGAAGGTAAATAAATTGGTAAAAATCCTTCATGCGGGATAGGAACCATAAATTGGTTCCCATGGTTTTATCCAATGTCAAAGGCCTTCGTTGTCATTTATGTGTGTAAATTTTGACATTTGCAATTGAATTCACAAGTGTAAACAATAAAGTTAAATTTTATATAATTTCTTGCGGATAAAACCGCACGGGACCAACTCGTATTACTATAAAAATAGTAATTATTTTACACTTTTTAACCAGTTAGATTATTTTTTTAAGAAAATATTCTTACCCTCCCTTCTGCGAAAGGTTCCGGTTCAACTGGCGGATATTTTGCTGTTAAATCGAACGCTATCTGAAAGTAAATTAAGAAACGATAGTAACATTGTAATACAATGAAAACTCCATATCGAGAATCATAGAAGACAATAAAAATGTAACGGTCCTGACATCTGATAGGGCGTTAGGGAGGGCGACCGCCCAGGGCGCTGCACGGGAAGGGGCGTCAAAGATCTCTGAATCACAAAGCCTTATACGTAAAAAGTGTTAAATAAGTGCCATACATAAGGTACAATCTTAGATATTAAAATATTTATAATATATCGTGCAATTCTGCAGTGGGCGGGGCTATCTCCTTTAGGGGCGTGTCCCTACATATTAATACCTAAAAATAAGGAAGTTTCCTATGAAATATCTGAAGTTTTCTCTCACCTGCGTCATGAACCACCTAAAGGATTTACATTGCAGCTTCTCTCGCAACTTCTTCTGGTGTGAGATATCTCCCGTGTCGATGTGCAGGTAGTGCGGCCGCCGCTTGTACAGATACTGCGCGTACTCGTCCATCCACACCTCCGCCACGCGCCTGTAATTCTGTACGTATTATATTATAACACACAATTTTACAGTGGGTTTTTTTGTGCAGGGGTGGAATCATGGACACCTGGGAAGGAGGAGCCAGGTAGTACCGGACCCCTGCTTGGTGTACTGTGGTGTGTACTTGCTATGGGATACATGTAATTTTTTTACAATGGTAGAGCACGCTTTAACATCTTCGTACTGTAGGGTCGGCTGGTACAATACTACGACCACACAGAAAACAGGCGTGAAGTGGGAGCAATTACGCTTATAGTCTGATGAGTGTGGTGCTGGAGGCGCAACTCTAGTCCCTTTTCCTTCCTACCCTTTTTCTCATAAATAGGATGGGAAGGGAATGTAGATTTGATTATGGAGGAGACGTATAGGAAGCGGAAATAACCTCTTTATGTGCGTCTCCTCTTTCGTCAATTAAGAGTAGGCAACGCATCCGCTTTTGCGGATGTTTTTGGGCGCAGTCGCTTCGCCATTTTGGCAGATTCAGGTGGCCGCTTGCTCGTTTGACACTTTATGTTACAAAAAATATTAGTAAGAGTAAGATAATGTCCCGTACCCTGCCGACGAAGTCCCCGTGGCCCGGGTTGGGGAAGGGCGCGAACTTCCTGTAGATGTGTCCGACGCGCGAGCACGGCGCGTCCACCATGCGCCCGCCGCACTGCCAGATCTGCGCACCACTGACATATTAATATTTTTATTAACCAATAATATTCCTCCCTTAGAATACGTGGGAATTCGATGACTTCATGCCAATATGTAGTCGTACGTACGTATGTGTACAGTTAGCACCATAAATATGGTTTAAATATATACAAATAACGCTAAATACACCGCTGTGGGTTTTCACTAGTGTTACTAAATACCTTGTGTACATTTAAAAAACTGTAAAGATCCATAAATTAGAAAGTAAAGTTTTTATGCATTTATTCGTTAAAAGTATGAATTAATGATTTTAAAACCAATGGCGTATCTAATCTTTGTAAATACTAAGTTGTGTGTGTGTGTGTGTTACCTTGAAGCTGAGCTCGTACTGCTCGCCGCCCCAGATGTCGAGGCCGGGGTCGTACCCGCCCAGCTCCCAGAAGAACTTGCGCGACATCGCGAACAGCCCGCCCGCCATCACCGGGCTCCTGCCAGACGAAACGACACACATTCTCATATAAAAACATAACCAACATTTATAATTCAACATCCAATCAGTATAAAACTGATAATTAAAAAGCAATTCGTCTTTACGAAACCGATATTAGAAAGAGATAGAACATATCGGAGAATATTTTGCACATTTCTGTTAAAGAGATGATCTGTTTTATCAAAGGTGGATATAATATGCTTTATACGAGCACTGGGTCATCTTCCTTCTCTTTCTACTCCCGTAGGGTCAGCTCGACAGATTTTTGTCTTCCACATAACTCTATCATACGTCATCTCAGTCATCACTCCCTTCTTGACTATGTCACCCTTCGCGCAATACATATTTCTAGGTTTACCGGTGTACCCTTCAACAATCATAACTAGATTCTCCTTGTTACATGCGATTCGTTCCTCGAGCAGGATAAATAAGTGTATTAAGTAATGGGACCCTGACTGGAATGGCTCCGGCATGTTGTCCTGGTCCCGGGGCAGCACTGGCAGGCGCTTGTAGAAGAGCTCCCAGTCGAAGGCGCCGCGCGCGCCCTCGTCCTGCGCGCGGTACTCGAACGTGTCGTAGGCGATCACGTCGATGTACGGACACACCACCGTGCGGTAGCTTAGCGCTATCGGCTCTGCGCAACACAAACACATACCAAATGTTACTTGTTATGGTATGCTTATGTTACTTGAGTGCGAAGGAGCCAGCTGAAAATCAGCGCAGGAACGGCTTATTCCGTCCTGCATACGCTGAGCTGGCTACCTTTTGCCACGATTGTGTTTCCTTTAGAATAAGTCCTTTTATGTAATTTCTATTTTGTGGCAATAAATACATATTCATTCATTCATTCATTCAAATTATATGCTATTGGAACAAATTATCGATTTTTCGAAATAGATCGGAAACTTGCATCTTAACATTTAGAGTCATTCAAAGGTCATTTTATATCATATTGCTAATAAACAAGCGAACAATTACGAAATGGCGAAATAATCGTTGCACATAGATGTACGAAAAAGCAGATACGATGTCTTTTATTGATAGAGGGGACGCACAGAAAGAAAATATTTTCCCTTGCTATGTGCTCCCTCTGTCAAATCCATTTCCCGTGGCATTAAGAAAAGAGAACTACAGTGTTTTATTTTTCCGACACGTTAGTCGATTAAGGAGTCCGTTACAGTAGTTTACTATTACTATGCAACTAAGCGCAGTCTTTGACCATTTAACGTGTCTCATGACATGGATTTTTTCCTACATTCTGTTCAACAAATACGAACCTAGTAGCGGTGGTAGCCAGTTAACAGTGGCCTCAGTGTGCGAGTCTAAGAACAGTAAGACGTCGGCGGAGGCCCGCGCGGCGCCCGCCAGCCGCGCCGCTATCAGACCACTCCGCTGCGCTAATCGCACCACTTTCACCTTCGGTAAATGCTTAGATAGATAGTCTTCTAACTTCTGCTTTAGGAAATCTAAGATCGAAATTACAAACAGAAACGTTTAAAAATGATGCTATCCCCCTCCCACACACTATAATGGACTATATAACTAAACAGTATAGCTTTCCATATTGTTTATATCGTTACTAGCTTTTAAACGCGACTGCGTCCGCGTACAAAAAAATAAACTAGGTAGCCTATGTGTTGCCAGGACAGGCCAAAGTTCCAGATCCGTTTAGGCTACAAATTCACAAACATCCATCCATCCAAACTTTAACATTTAATATTAATATGATTCATATAGTTAAACATATTGTGAGGTTACAAAATCATACATTTAAATGTAATTTTTAGTATGTAAGCCAATGTCGATAAACGAATAGATAGAGAACTTCCGTTTTGCGTTAAAAAAAATTTAAAACTATTTACCATATTTCAACTAATTGGAAATGTATAGACGATTACAAACATGACTAAATAATTATTTACACTTAATAAGTCTGCATAACTAAAAACCGATAACAGTTTGTGGATAATATTGGATATTTTTCTCTTAGTATTTTATTCATAGTTAACATCTTAAACTGACTATCTCAAAGCTTAACAAATTGCAATACAAATTTTATTATCTGTAGGAAAAAATAATATTGAATTTTGTTACAAAGGTGACATTACACCCATTTTATTATTCGACCTTTGCTAGTATTAGCATAAAAACGGTAGCTTACATGTTATTGTATTGAACAAACTGTACAAACATTAAACATGTGTACCGTTTAATATTAATAAGAGTAATTCCAGAATATAGATAAACATAAAATGATTCACTGCTTTAACAAGAATGTCCACGTAAATATATAGAATTAAAAAAACTCGAATTAGCTATTTTTTTCGTATATTTCATACTAATATAAAAAATGCGAGTCTGGATGGATGTGTGTTACTGAGTATCTCAGCTTATCTGATTTTGATGAAATTCGGTACAGATGTGAAACATAATGTAATAACACAGACTACTTACTAATTTAAGTTTGTTTAATCCAAGCTGTTAGTTAAACTAACCATTTTTTTAAGTTATATACAGATGTTTTATTTATTTTATATCTAAATTTTACTTATATACTTAAAACTCACCCTTTGTGCTTGCATCGTCAACTAAAAACACCTCTTTTATAAGAAATTCTGGGGACCTGATAAGAACACTATATGCCGTCCTGAGCAATGTACTCCAGTGTTCATTGTGGAAGGGAACCACCACACTAACAGTCGGTAATGACTCTATGTACTTGCGAACCTTGCAACCTGGATGTCTTATGTCTGGTAAAGATCTGTTTAAAGCTATTTTATCACTCAATGCTCCATTGAAGCCATTAACGGAATATAATTGTTCCTCAAGAAAAGCCAAAGATTTAGGTAGCCGTGCTGGTAAACCTTGCTCACCAATACCTGAAAAATTACTTTTAATTACTTTGTTGTGTGTGTGTTTTTTTTCTCTTATTCCAAATTGTGTTGTAGTGGTGATAAGATTAAATGTTATTTTATTTTATTTATTTATTTATTTAAAAATACATGCGTATATAGAATCTTAACAAGTTATTGTGTAAACTTTGAACTACTAAGATGCTTACAATCTAATAAGTCAAAAACTACTTGGAATTAAGAATATGAGCCCTTTGAGATGTATTTCCTTTAGAATTAAAAGAGTTTTTACTACTAGCTCTCAATGATTGGCTGCCTCTTGCTCAAGTTGTGATTTTTTCTATGCATTTAGTCCAAATATGCTAACTGTTTTATAAGTTAGCTAATAACAACAAATCAACCCTAAAACTATTAAACTCCACCAATAAAATAAAGTTACTCACCTTGACGTTTTCTTTCATATTCAATTTGTGTATAATTGTGCCAGTCAATTTTCTGAAACAGTAACATTTTAAAATATAATTATCTTATTAATTACTTAAAAAAATATAAATGAGAATGTTTAGATGGATGGATGTTTGCAAGTTTATAGCCTCAACTGGTGAATTTGGTATAGATGTAGAGGATAGTCTGGAAGAAGATATAGGCTACTTGCTTTTTTTTTTAATAGGACAGTCATGTGTGAAAGCCAATATTATTACGAGCTTTCACCCACAACTCTATCCACATGTTTAGGAGACAGAGTCCAACTGATATTGTACACAATTATTATAATCCAATAAAGAATTTTTATTTAATATATTACAAAGAAAGTGGTAGGTTAAAAGTTAGTTAATTCATATTTTTTTACCTTCAAACTCTTTGGAACAAAATAATCAATTGTTCCAATGTTAGTTTTGCTGATATTATTAAAAGTCTTTACTATATACAGCAAGATGACTAAAAAGGTTATAGTAAGGAGGTTTCGTAGTCTCAACAACCTTACGAATTGACGACGCATCACAAACATGGAACTGAAATAATAATTTATTTTAATAACTTGTATATTTTAATATTAAAGTTGGATTTTTGAATTAGAGGTAAAAGAAGGCCTTTAAAAAGAAAATTGAATAGAAAATTCAATTTTAGTAAAAGTACATAACTAGAATTAAGCATAAATTAGTTTTAGTAGACTCTGAATATATTTTAGTTGGTACAGTTTTTTTTTTATTTTTAATGCATTTCATTTATCAATATATAAAGCTTGCCGCAATCTAGATTTTCTGTAAACTAACAGATTAAAAATTTAAAAGGAAATTAGTGTGACGGTTATTGATAACAGAAAGATTAATGTTTTGATATAAATGCCGCAAGCTATCTACTTGCTTCTGATAAGCGAAATTAATTAAGGTTTAAGTAAATGATTTTAATCCAAGGTATTTTAATCTATGTTTCGTTATAATAGTAAACTTTAAACTATTTTACAGGCCCTTAATTTATTTATTTCTATAAGTATTAATAAAACTTCGAACCAAAACATACCGGTACAACCACCCGAATTTCATAACTAAATCAGAAAATTTTAAATCCAATGAATAGCACTACGTTTCAAGTCATATAAGTAAAATTTGCATTCCAATTAATTTTAAATCATGATCAGACAAACTCGAATTTGTTTATTTCCTTCAATACCATCCCAATCCAATTACACTATGACAATGACAGATGACAACATGTATGACAATGGTGCCTGACAACTAACATTGACGAAAATTGACATTGACAGCTTCTATAAACAACAACTCTAAAGATTAAATAAAAATGTTTTAAGTGACCGCACCTCGTGAACAAAAAATGTAAAAGCCTATTTACAATTTAAGTCAGAATACGCACTTCGTGATATTGGTTATTGGGTTTTTTTAAATAGTTACAATTGAAATGGAAACAATGGCATTTTATTGTAAGGTTTAAATTGATAACCTGACATGAAGTGACAACTGTTTGTTTCCTATTGGTCAATCTATAATTTAAAACAAGTGATAACCAATTGAAATCAACCACAGATTAAACCAAAACATTTGGTGAAAGGATCGAAATAAAACACATTTCGCTTTTCAATTTCAGTTTTCAGTCAGTTTTCGCTTGTCATTCTCTTCGGCTTTTTATTTCAGACACAACAAATATATTTATGAATTAATTGCAATCTTACAAATAATTTTAGAGCACGGTAAGGAACTCAATCGCAAATACAGTAAATTTTATGGGGTTAAGTTTTGTTATTGATTATTGAGGATATCCGAGATCCGGTAATTCATGCCCGCATTTTGAATTCTATTTCATTCTCACAATAATTGAAGCCGTCGACAATACTTTTAATTAAATTAAAACGTGCAGTTTGACGATTGACTGATCTACTTCTATTCAAAGTTTTCTGATAGTAAATGAAGTATTAATTTTCAGATGGCTCTATTTAATAGTAAAGTGTGTTTATGTGGATTGCTGATATTATTTGGTAGCGTGTTCGTGAAGTCCGAAGCTGACAGTGATGATGAAGGAATAACGGTTGAGGTTAGTATTGGAATGACCTAATTTGATTGTAACATGTTCAAATGTGATAAAGTTGAATTAATCCTATGTACATCAAAAGGATTAAAGTACATTACAGTTTTCTCTACCAAGGTCTCGGTGGCTCATAGGGTAAATTTTAAGATTAGGACCATTTCAAGAAGAATACAATCAAATAATTGCTTTCTCTTTCTTTTACAAATTCGTTGGAATAATCTATTCTTTACAATAAATTCATCAAATTGCACTTTATTATTATGTATTATTGTGGTAAAAGTTAATGTAAAATCGTTAAACTTACAGTCAGTCAGTCCATAAAATAATCAGTAAAATAACTAAATACTAGGTCCATTTCCAATGTAAGACTTTTGGCTCTTTCACTGACTTAGTTGAATAATTTTAAACAATAGTGTGCAGTTTTTTATATTGCCTTCCCCTCAAGTTCTCTTTGATAATAAAAAGCATAGAGGCATTAAATATGTTAAAGCTATAAAAGATGGCAGTATTACATGTTTACAATGTTTAAATTTTGTTAATGTACAAGTAAGATGGGTAAACATTACAACTGATATTATGTCTTGTTCCTATTTAGCTATCTAACTATGGCAATCAGATAAGAGTAATATTTCACTGTTTCTAATGCTTTATCTCTACAGTTATCTATATCTCCCATTCCTTGCATGTTACTATGCTACTTTTGTATTTTGTTGCTTTTTAATATTCTTAAATTAAAATTCTCCTTCCCTTAACATTGGTTTCTAATTTTTAAAGTCTTAGGCTGGGAATACAAAAATTATATTTATTATGCCAGTTATTGGCACAATGCATATATGCATGCCAGTAAATTGGAGCAGTAACTTGCATGCTAGTTCTCAAATTGTCAAGCTTAATAACCACATAGTTGCTTACCTCAATTTACTGTAGCTATGCAAATCGTGGATCTGTTACAGAATTATATATCATGCTAGCTAACTGCATGCCAGATGTGGTTTATACATTCCTGCAGCATATGCACTATATGCACATGCATCAAATATGTAAAATTTTGAGGTCCAAATGCACATGAATATAATATGATAGTTGTGCATATAATTCAGTAATATGTTTTTGCATCTTAGTTATAATGAAAACATAATTTTATCACATTAATATATTTTTGTAGTTTTTGTAAGCAGTATTCAACAATGCTTGACCTCTGCTTTGCATCTTAATTAAAAATTAAACTAAATATAAGTTATCTTACTTTATTATGTAATATATGCTTAGTTTGATATTTTACTTACTGTGTTTTATGTTTCCATAAAATGCTCACAACATTTCTTACTTTAAATGAGTGTTTTTAAACATTTTCTTTTCTCAGACTGTAGAAGAAACGGAACAATACCACAGCCCAAGTATAAACTCGAAGAATGTATATTTATCAGAGCATTTTGATGATGAGGTGGCATTCAAGAAAAAGTGGATCAAGTCGGAAGCTAAGAAACAAGGTGTTGACGAGAATATTGCCAAATATGATGGAAAATGGGAGGTAAGAATACTTAGTTAATTAAAATATAGAAAACTAGCTGTTACTCGCGACTTCGCCCACATGAATTAAGAAATAATAAAAAAGTAAATACCTGTGTTGCTCACTGATAACATCACTTTTTTATGGTAAAAGAATTTTTGAAATCGTCCCAGTAGTTTTGGAGTTATTTCAATACCTACAAAAATACAAATCATTCCTGTTTTTATAATAAGTAGAGATGATTGTCCTTTAGCTTCTTTAAAAAAATTATAGAAAGAGAAAAATCTTACAAAACACAACCTTCAAGTATAGAAATGTATGTTGTTGTAAATCATTTGTATGGTAAAGTTTATTTGTGATTTGTGTTTCTAGATCCAAGCACCCTCTCGTCGTATCCTGAAGGAAGATCTAGGATTAGTTCTGACTACGGAAGCGAAGCACGCCGCCATCTCCGCTCTATTGGACAAGCCATTTGAATTCAAAGATAAACCTCTGATTGTGCAGTATGAGGTTACTATGCAGGTAATATTATTGTAATATTATTCAAGCCAATTTTCATACCTTGGGATTGAAAATCCTTGATAATAAGTTGCTTGTTATTTCATCGCAAAATACATAAAAATACGAGTATTGGAAGTGTTAAAACACTTTGTAAATTACTCTTATAATCATACTTCATACGATTGTATGGATGGATGTATGTTACTACATATCCAAAACTCCTTTGAGGATTTTGTTGTAAATCAAAAGTATCTTGTAAATCTTTCTCACAGATGTAGAACATAGTCTAGACCACATAGGATAGCTGATGCAGTCGCAGGCAATAGCTTGTGTAACATAATTCAGATATACAGATTTAAAAAAAAAAAACAATTATTGCAATTCAGTGTATAATTTCATCATTCTCTAGTGTTTACTAATCAACTTATAGTAGACTTTAGTTCGTAGTTTGAACGACGTAAGCGTTTATTGGATTAATTTGTACTAGGACGTTCTTTGCCTTTATAATCTATGCCCTACTGAGTCTATATACAAGTCTTCATATTTACAACCAACAGATTATAACTGACACCTTTGTATGGTTTACTTAAAGAATTTTAACATCCACTTTAACTTGTTTGTCAATAACATTATATAATGATTACAATATATTATAATACCTTAGTATTTATTTTATTTTAGTAGGCCCTTAGGCCTGTCTTATAATTCTTGTAAAGTGTCAGATAACAATCCAACATTTAACATACGAGCATTAGAAAACATACTAAGTATATAAATTACAAAAAGCTTCGTATCCCTCGGGAACTGGACATTTCTCGGGGAGGAAGCTTATCCCATGTGTACTCCAGACTTTGTTTTACATCTGTGTCAAATTTCAAGAAGATATGTTGCAGAATAATCGAGTAAACATTAAAAAACTAAATTAATTAATCCCACGGGAACCGTAACTATTCCCAGGATAAAAAGTAGCCTATGTGTTCTACCAGACTACGCTCTAAACCTGTGCCAAATTTCATGGAGATCTGTTCAGCCGTTTAGGCTATAAACGCTAACAAACATCCATCCATCTAAACTTTCGCATTTGTAATATTAGTCATGGAAATATGATTTTGATATTTTGTCACTTTTAATCTATCCAAGCCTCTATCAGCCAGTGGTGGGACAGGCTGTTATGTTTGTTAATTTCTTTTTTTATTCATGACTAACGTCTTATTTTAACTGACAAAACTGTTTTGAGGTAAAAAGGCGAGAGTATTTACATTTTACATTATAACCAGTTTATTTCTGGTTCATAATGGCAATAAACTATAATGACGTATGTACGGTGATGTAGCTATTCTGAAGGCACTTGGCCTAATGCCAAAACTTGCTTTCTTTGTTATAATGCTGTCAATTAGACATCATAATATATTCAAAATTATTTTTGATATTTAATAGCCTACTTAATTACGTTCATTATTTAATATCTATGCATCTACAGATTTTTTGATAAAAAAAAAAAAATCAATTCAATATTTGGCCATTTTGTAGAGTATAATCTATTCTATCATAGGAAATCATTAAGTGGTCGTCTTTTGTATGGATTTAATGAAAGAAATCTATATTAAGTGGCTCTCTTAGTAACCAATAGTTCTCCTTACGGCCGAATATGGAAGCGACATTTAAGTATGCTTGCCATCCTTCTTTGTACCTGACGACTGTCCGTTTGTAAGCCGCGCTTATAAAACGAAGTATTTAAGATTCCCTACAAGGTACTTAGGTTTTGAATGACTTGGTCCTTTAAAAATGGATGCTTTTGTATAGGAGGGTCAGAATTGCGGCGGCGCGTACATAAAGCTGTTGTCCCGCGGCACCAACACCAAAGCCGACCTCCGCAAGTTCCACGACCAGACGCCCTACACCATCATGTTCGGTCCCGACAAGTGCGGTAATGACAACAAGCTGCACTTCATCTTCAGGCATCAGAACCCCAAGAATGGCACCTTTGAGGAGAAGCACAGTAAGAAACCTAGGTAAGTTAGATATTCAATAATTATTGTGCAATTCAATATTCTTTAGTGTAGATTTAGTTTAAAAAAACTGGCATTAAAAGAGTACTTTTAGATTATTTAATTATTTGGAGTTCAGCTAGAGTTTTAAGATTTTCTCTTTTACGGTAGTAGTAAATGGGGAGTTGATGTGTATTGGACGGAGGCAGGGATGCATAGGAAGGAAAAATGTCCTCTTTCTGTGCATTGTTTCATTTCATTTGTTAATAAAATGCACCTGCTTTTTCCGATATCTGTTGGCAGCGGATGTTTCACTATTTCAGCGAATTTTCACCTTTCACTATAAAACACTCTTATCAAGTTATATTCTGCTAAGTTTTTGATAATTAAATAAGTAAATGCTTTATCACACTAATAAATTTACATTTCATGGGAACCTTGACTCCTGCACCGGGTTCCCCTATGCTGCAGGATATCTCGGCAAAGTCATAAATTTAAATATATTTAACTATAGTTTAAATGTTTTATTCAGTCAACGTCTGGAAGATATCTACAAGGACAAGGAGCCGCATCTGTACACGCTGATAGTGCGGCCCGACAACACGTACAGCGTGCTCGTTGATGAGAAGGAGGTGAACGCGGGCTCCCTGCTGGAGGACTTCTCCCCCCCGGTCAACCCCCCGGAGGAGATCGATGACCCTGATGACACCAAGCCCCAGGACTGGGACGAGAGGGAGAAGGTGACCTGCAGCACACATCAAATTATTATAAAAACTTGTATTGTTTACATTTGTAGTTATAAAGTACTAGCTGTTCCCGTGCGGCTTCATCCGTATAAAATTACGAAAAATATATGTTATTGTTTATATTTGTCAAATTATCAATAGCAAATGTCAAAATGACATGACATGACAAACCATGGCAACCTTGCTTCCTTGATGTTGGCAGCAACTTATGGTCTCTTTTTCACATTAGGGTTTTTGTCCAAAATATTTACCCCCCTAAGTTTAATGGCGTGAAATATATAGCCTAAAGCGTGACGTAAATGTAGGACTTTTTATTAAAAAAAGAATTATTCAAAAATATGGTGTAATTGCTGACATCTTAGGCAACAAAGAAGTGTGTGTTTACGCTTTATTATAATAGTGTAGATAGAGATTGCAAGCTATTTTTTTGACCGACTTCCCAAAAGAAGGAGGTACTCAAGTCGTCTGAATGTTTTTTTTAAGTGTTATAGTTTAATTGGTTTGCTTCCAGATCGTGGACCCGAGTGCGACTAAACCCGAGGATTGGGACGAGGAGGCGCCCGCGCAGATCGTGGACCCCAACGCTGTCAAGCCTGACGGCTGGCTGGACGACGCGCCAGAGATGATACCCGGTAAGTACACATTACTAATCATCATCTTCCTTATCCTACTCCCGCAGGGTCAGTTCAGCAGATTTTTGTCCTCCATCCGTCAACTCGGTTCATACCATGCTAACCTACTTCTTACCTTCTCTACCACTGGGACTACTCTCAAACTTCCTCTAATATGCTCATTTCATATTTAGTGTAATATGGTAAATACATATTACACTTGAAATTATTAATTAAAGGTCTTTTTTATGTTTAATCGAAGTTAATATAAAAATTGACTAGTTTCGATCTATGGTTGTAAGTAAAACTATGACAAAATTGAAGTGTGTATGTGGTAAACTTTTTTTTCCTTCAGCCAACACTATATTTTCTTTTCAAATTATTATTTTTATATCATAACATGGCAAACAAACAAGCAACCACCAAATTTGTATTTGCAAACAGATTGACTTTTACTTCATAGGTGAAGACGTTCTGATAGAGGATATTTCCCCCTAATTATGTGTCCCTTCCTTCGACAAAACTATTACCGTTTTGCATCTTATGTCTAAGAAAAGGATGGAATTGGAAAATGATTTCAAATTAGAGATCCAATAGAATGCAGAATTGATTAATTTGAGCTATGTTATGCTATTTAAGAACCAGATTTTAAAATGTTTAAGTTATTTATGTATAACATTGCAGACCCCGAGGCGAAGAAGCCGGCGGACTGGGAGGAGGAGATGGACGGCGAGTGGGAGGCGCCGCTGGTGGACAACCCCGTCTGCGCCGCCGCGCCCGGCTGCGGGCCCTGGAGCCCCCCGCTGCTGCCCAACCCCCACTACAAGGTACACCTGTCCCACCCCGTCCCCCCACCCCGTCCCCCACCACTTCTCCAACTTCCAGCACCATGTAAGTCACTTTTTGGCTATTTTTCGAGAGAATCGGAAAACGCATCGTTTTAACCTATTATAAACTTATTATACAATAACTATAACTATGTATAAACAAACATTAAATTAGTTTAGTATTTTTACAGTTTTTTTATGCAGTTTTTCTCTCTCCTGAAATGTTGGTATTTTTGACATCCGTGGTGTTAGAACATCAATATGTAATCGCATTTTTTCTTTTTACAATATCCTCCGTAAAATTATAAAATATATTTTTTATAACTTTGTTACTTTGTAAAGGCTTTGTGACATTTAACCATAAATGTTAATATTTAATTGAAATTATTTATTTTTGAATTGTATAAATTATCTATAGAAATAGAAAGAAAAGAAGTTTTGTAATTTTGTATGTATTGAAATAACTACTACTAACTACTGGGTTACTTTTAAAAATTCTTTATTCGTTATAAAGTGTAAAAATCTGTAAATATATTGATAGTTTCATAAGTGTAATTTTGTTTTTTTACTAGTATTAGTAGTGTATGAAGTGTTTCCCTTAGGGCGTGTGGCGCGCGCCGCTCATCCCCAACCCCAACTACCGCGGCAAGTGGGCGCCGCGCCGCATCCCCAACCCGCACTACTTCCGCGACGAACACCCCTTCGCCATGACGCCCATCGTGAGTATTACTGTTCATAAACGAGAAAATTGACATTTTCTTATTTAATCATACTTCATACTAATATTATAAATGCGAAAATTAGATGGATGTTTTGTTAGAGTTTGTAACCTAAACGGTTTAAAGATTTATTTATAAAGTTACAAAATTTCTTTTAATACAATTGTGTCGATCGCCTGGTTCGTTAAACGGATTTCGATGAAATTCGGCACAGATATAGAGAATAGTCTGGAAGGATACATAGGCTACTTGTAATTGTTATTTTTTTTTAAATTCGCGCGAAAAAAAATCTTGTTACCTAACTGGTTAGGTAAATTTGGTTAAGTGGACGGGACAAGCCTCTGGCTACCCCTATAAGTGAGCGTGGTGAATGTGCAGCACGCGGTGGGGTTCGAGCTGTGGTCGATGTCGCCGCAGCTGCTGTTCGACAACCTCATCGTCAGCGACGACGCGGAGGCGGTGGCGGACTGGACGCGGCAGACGTACGCCCTCAAGCGCGCTAAGATCTCCAGCGACTCGGTCAGTATTACACTGTTTTCATACTAATTACGTTTCTGGGATTATTCCCAACCGTCACCCCGCTCTGTCCCCCCATGGGAATAAATAAGAATGAAAAGTCATCCGTCCAAAATGGTTGGAACTTATTGTTTTCCTAACCTAATCTGTTACCTTATTTTCGATAATGGGACTAAAATTTGGAATGGATGAATTTATTTTCACGTGGGGACAGAGCGGGGTGACGGTTAGGAATAATCTCATTTATATGTGTAAGTCTTAAGAAAAAATCTAAAATAGACATACAGGGTGATTTTGGAAGTAAAGCACTTTATTATCTATTAAATTAAAAGTATGTTTCGTGGTTTCCTATAGTTTTAAAGTTATTTATTTTTTTTGGAAAATAATCGTAAATATGTAATTTTTTACGGTGTATACAGTAGCAATTTATTTTCTTGAACAAGTTTAATAATCGGGCTCTCATATCCTTATTCCTTTATTAGATTAACTCGAATGAAAACAAAAAAAGAATCTACAAGCTCTTCTTCTAGTAGCCAAAAAGGCAAATGTGATTACACTAAAAAAAAAAATTTACACCTAAATCTGAATTTTAGCAAAATTTTATTGCACCAAATAAGTAGCATATTAAATAAAACTAAATTTCATATTTAGTATATTAATTAAAGTGAACGAAATTTGAATAAATCGGAGCCGCACTTTGCAGACAACTGTTCTACCTGGCAATGACCTTGAAATGACCTTAGCAACTAAAATTAATAGCGTCATAGCGGGAGGAAAAAGTTTTAATATCTCTCCTTAAATACGTAAATTAGTGTTAGTTATATGAGTGTTGTGTCAGCAATCTGTGTGGGGCCGCCTCCTCCGCGCTACCAACTACAAGCCCGGGCTGTGGGCCGTGTACGCCGTCTACTGCGCCATCCCCGTCTCCATATACATCGCCTACCTCGTGCGCAGGGCCAGAGAGGTCCAACTATCAAACTACCAATAACTACCGCTAACTACCAACAACTACCGCTAACTACCAATATCTACCGCTAACTACCAATATCTACCAAGAACTACCGCTAGCAAAGCGAAAACTTTGATATATGCTAGGTGTTACTTTTGTGTTATATTAGTTACAGCTATCGGATTACTAAATGTAGACGTAAAAATGACCCATACTTTAGGTACTAAAGTAAATACACTTAAGTACATTTTATACTAAATATTACAGTTTGAGTCTATTTAATATAAGAAAAGGTAGTACTAAAGCGTATTTACTTTAACTGGGGGATGTCAGTTGTCTCAACAGTCGATCTATTTTGAAGTAATGTGATCCAGGAATAATGAAAGGTGAGATTGTAGTTCAACGCTTACGGAATATTCTTTAAAAATTGCTTGATCTTTAGAAATTACCATTCTTTAAAAATAAAGTTATGCTATTTCCAGCTCATACCACTCACGGCTCCACCCTTATAGGGGGATTGTGGGAGGGGCAGTTTGGTTAATTTTCAATCATGCCTTTGTGTAGTTACTTCCCTAGGTCAGAGGTGGCGAATTACTGACACGTGGCATAAATGCCACACGACATATTTTGGACACTTCGATAATAAAAACACCCCGAAAGAGTTAAGGTAGTCCGCTAGTTTGCCAGTAAGCTAGTAAACCAGTAAGCCAGTAAGCTAGCAGGCTAGTGTGCGGAGTGTGAGTGCCAGTGTTGTAGGAGAGCGTGGCGGAGCGCGCGCTGCGCTGGGCGGGCGAGCAGCCGTGGCTGGCGGCGGCGGCGGCGCTTGTCGCGTTTTCGATACTCGCTGCTTTCTGCTACCTCTGCTGCGGACCCTCCGCCGCGCCCGTGAGTATATCAACACGTGACGTACGTGTAGAGGATGTTACAAGAGATGTATTCAGCAAATATTACTATAGTAAAAAGGTAATGGTGAAAAAAAAAATAATTTTTAATCGAAATAGTAATGTGTTTTTTAAATACGAATTTTGATGTAATTTTACAGTAAACATAACATTGTAAGTAAGAAATTCATTTATCTATAACTAAGATTTGTATTTTTGATTTTTTGTATGTATTGAAATAGCTCAAAAACTACTAGGCCAATTTCAAAAAATCTTTCATTATTAAAAGTTACGTTAACAGTGAGTAACAATAGGCGTACATTTTTTTAATTTCACGCAAATAAAGGCGCTAGCAAAAGCTGTATATTTAGCATGTACTGTTAGTTAAGATTAGCTTTGCACAAACGACAGACCGATAATTTATGTTTATATTACTAGTGTTTTTGCTACTACTAATAAAATTAAATACTAATACTAAAATTAAATTTATCTGTATCCAGGAGCCTGATGTAGAGTACAAGAAGACTGACGCGATGACGGAGGACGACCCTCACGAGGGGGAGGGCGAGGGAGAAGGCGAGGGCGAGGGGGAGGCAGTGGCGGCGCCCCGCGGCAAGGCCGACCTGGAGGGCCCCGCCACGCCCCCCGCCACACCTCCTGCCACGCCCCCCGCCACGCCCCCGCACTCCGACCACGAGACTGACCAACCAGAGTAAGTATACTAATGTTGTTAAAGCCAACTTTAATATTTACCCGATTGACAAAAAGGTATAATTTTTTACCCGTGTATATATTTAGTTTTATGTATATTGGTTTATATGTATGTAATTTCAATTGTAACAATATACAGCATAAAACGACTGGACCAATTTTGACCAAAGAAGTGTGTGTCATTTATTTGTGTCTTTCCTTGAGTCGTTGTATTTTTTCATTTCAATTCTAAAACTTTAGTTAGGTGGATTTTTTTTTTATTTAAATTAAGGTCAATTTATGTACCATTCTTCCGTGTTCTAGTGTATAGTTAAATTGACTGTGTAATGACGTTACAATTACGTTGCTAGGAAGGTGGACACGGAGGGCGCGGGCGACGGCCACAGGAAGCGCAAACCGCGCAAGGAGTAATCCTAATATATATCCTAATTTATTGAGTACCAACCGTTTCGGTACAAATATGCTTTATTTGCACTCATTTATCATTTATATTCTAGCTAAAATTTCAAATTCTTACTATCGATTTCATTTAACTATTACGATAGAATACTTAAGTAGATCTGTCCCTAATAGGAATAAATTTAAAAATGTATTTTAACATGTTTCTCTATAATTAACTCAATAAATTAGGACTATTTTATATTACTACGTCTAAATAGACTCTATTTATAAGAAAATATAAATTTGCAATATAATTTATAGTCAAACGTCATAATATCGATATTTCGAATGAACTTTATACATCACTATAATTGTTGGATTAACAAGTGCGAGGGAGACGGATGTATTCGGACGTCTCACTTGCACGTATTGGCGGCTTATAAGGTCTAGTGTTGTTTATCGATGAGTTTTATTTAAAGTGCAAAGAATAATTATATTTATGGCTTATTAAAAAATTAGAGATATGCATTTTATTTGAGTATTTATTTTGTTAGTTAATTTTATTTTCTTCAGTGACTGAACCTTTATACTTTAATGTTAAATGATTTTAAAATGGATTAATTAAATTTAAAAAGTATATAGTTTCTTCATTCTATACAAGTATGATTTTTTTATTGGTTTCTCGCATATTTTATCTATACTATTTTCCTTTCTTGTCTACCAAAGAAGTGAAACATAATCCTTTTCAGTTATGAACAAAACGAATGTTTTATATAATATTAGAATATGAATACTGTGTATTGGATGTAAGATATTATTCGTCCTAATTATAGTTGTGTTTAGTTTTTAATTAATACTAGCTGTTGCTCGCGACTTTGCCCGCGTGAAATAAAAATATACAGCCTATGTTACTCCTTGATCACGTAGCTTTTTAATGGAGAAAGAATTTTTGAAATCGGACCAGTAGTTTTTGAGTTAATTCAATACAAAAATACAAATTTTTCCTCTTTATAATATTAGTATAGTCACAAATATCAATTTTCGCAAATTTCTTTGTCTCATTTATATATTGTCTGTCTATCTCATGTATAGGAATATGCATAGCTAAATTTATATGTAGTTTTTAATATATTTGCTACAAATGTATAAGGTTTATTAAAATGTATCGTTCTTGTAGTAAATTGATGTAAACATGGTAAATATTGGAACATTAATTATACAAATATTTATATTAAACAATATAAAAATTTGTTTTTATTTGACGTTCTGTTCTGTTGTTACTTTGGATCACTGATCTCTATAACCCACTAGATAGGCTATAAATCGTCCTAATTGAATTTCGCCATCTTGGCAACATCTTGAACTGTCAGTTATCAACAAGTGTTAACTGATGAAGCCTTCAGGACGCTCAGTTCTAACTGTACAGTTCCACCGTTCAGTCAAATCTGTGCGTGTTTAGAATTATTTTTAACTATGGTTCAGTAAATCTTTGTCTATACACGAATAGTTATTTGATGAATTGGATTGTTCAAGTAATACTTAAGGGGTTAAGTAAGGAGTTATCCGACGGGTTGTATAGATATCAGTGATTTGCATCCATTAAGGGTCTGTCCCACCAAATTGGAAAATATCTGATAACAATCCAACATGTAAAATATGTGAAATATCAAATTTTGTTACCTTATCTGACAGTGACGTCATTTTTAAACTATCTGAAACTTTATCAGCCAGTGGTGGGACAGGCCCTAAACCTTATATGACATAGTATTATATCTAGGTAGTGAATCGAAGTATTTTGTGTGCGTGTGCGAGGTTTTTTGTGCGGTAGGAGTCAGTGGACTGGCATTTATGTTTAATTAAATAAAATATTTCTATCCAAATTGTATTTTATTACACCTTTTATTTTGATAAGACTAGGCTATATATGGATAATAAGGAAAGTAAAGGGGGAACAGGAAGGGAAAACTAGGGGATACAGCTATACAAAATTGGAGCTCTACTTCAAATAATGAAACATCTGAAAAATACATAAGTATGTAAATTATAAATAACATATATTTTTTTTTAATTTCAACTTTGTTCTATCGATTTAAATTCCGACACTTGTCCATTGTTCTTACGCGTCATTTAAGATTCAACCCACTTTAAGTTTGTACGGCCTTTACGGACTGTAACACTACCAAGGTCTTTTAATAAAAAGAAAAAATACATTTTGTCATAAATATAACATTAAAGTACAAATGGCAACAGGGACGCTACCTATGTTTTAAAATAACGTATGTAAGTCCCACTAGAAATTCACACAATAAAAACTAGGATTATTGCGCACTTATCCTAGCTTACAGTTAATAAGTGTGTGATAACCCTTATAGTAGAATTTAATAATGTTTACTATTACTGCAGTGTCGCGTAAAATGTACTTCCAAACATTACTTTATACTGTCAACAATTTACACATTATTTCAACTGTCCTTAGTAAAAAAAACCTTCAGCAGTGGGAAGTGTTATCAAATAATGCACATGTTTGTGCAGTGTCGTTTAAACATTTAAATACAACTGTCAAATATAAATTTTCCTGTAAAACAAGGTCAGTTTACTTGAAGGGTCAAGGTTTTTCCTTCTAAAACACCTTGTTAAATAAATTACAATAAATTTCGTTTACTGTAAGATTCCGCATTAAACATTCTGTCGACAAATATCGTTCCCTTATGAAAATGTGTGACATGTTGACGAAAGTTTCGAAATCCACAATTAACCACACTTGTGGGGAAATTCGTATGGTAAAGTCATTTTTGAGATGGGACATGGTCACACTACCTAGCTGTCATCAACTGGGATTGGGTTGAAGCTTTGCATTTGCTAGTTTCCATTTTGCAGTCGTCAGTCGTTGCACGCTCTCGGCGACAGCATGACGCGTGTTTTGTGTATACTAGCTCTGGCGATGTTCTGTCATGCGACAGACCGGCCTCACATCATACTCATTATTGCTGACGATTTGGTAAGTTATTATTATTAATTTTATTACAAGAACACTATGACTGGTAATTTATAAGTACAAGCTTGATTCCTGTGATTCCTTTTACGATAACAAAATAAAAACAATCAAAGTATCTAAAAACTATAAACCTAGCTATAATTGTTTTTTTTTTTTATAATCAGTGCAAAAGTTGTAGATATTGACATACATTGCTAAATCAAATCAAATCAATACCAAAAGAGTTAAAAAAAGTTTAAACGTGATTGGCATTTTAATTTTTAGTTTTTTAGGGTAACTACAAACCTCAGGCGTCCTAAGTTCCGTGCTAAAATTTTATCGAAACCAGTTTATCGGTTAAAGAATACATATAACACTAACATAATTTTTATACATAAATAAAAGCCAATATTTGTTTATTTCGTTAAAAATAACATGCAGGGCAATAATACATTTGTCATTTTAGTGCAAATATTTAAAAAAAATAATGTAAGCATGCACGGTGGATAAAGATGTGTTGAGAACGTTAACTTCCCAAATACTAGTAATATAACGGTGTTATCACACACTTCAATTGAGGCGACGGTAAACAAGGCATGCTTTTTGGGTTTGACCTCATTTCGGTTCGATCCGTCGTTCTCGTATGTAAATCCACAGCTTATTTAAACATAATCAAAACTATGCTTTCTAATGCTATCAAATTACCATAAATAAAGTCAAAAGCTCACTACCAGAAGGCCAGGGACATTTTAGGTTCCTAGGAGCGAAAAGTGTAGTGCCCCGAATAGTAATACGCGTCTACTGACTGGCGCTTTCCAAGGCCTTGTGCCCGGGCGCCTAAAGTCCCGGCGACGGTCAGGCGACCTGCATCCCTAGCACCGCTGGTTAAATACGACTCTGAGAGATAATATCACTTGGCATTTATCCAATACTTTGAACAATAATCAATAGTACTTCTAAGATATGTAATATTTTGGTGCTTTTGCCATATTCTAGTATTTCAATTCTAAACATTGGTATTTCAGGGTTGGAATGATGTATCTTTCCACGGCTCCAATCAAATCCCGACGCCGAACCTCGACGCCC